TTGCAATGTTTACGAAATTGCTTGCAAAAGTGACGAATTGGGTTTAGAATGACGAAATTTGTTGCAACGTTTACGAAATGGGCTGAAGCGTTTACTAAAAGATCTGCTGCCGGTTTGACGAAATTGGTTGCAATGTTTACGAGATGGTTCTGAAACGTTTACGAAAATAGCTGAAACGTTTACGAAATTGCTTGCAAAGTTTCCGAAATGCAATGCAAAGTTTACGAATTGGGGTGGAAAACCCTGTGATGAGGAATGCTAGATACAAGTCGTGGAGTTTTTGGTGAATTTTGACGTAATGGTAAGACTGCCCTTCCACTGTAACAGTTCCAGGTTACACGGAAGAGCATGACCAGCCCCTGACTTGATGAAAGTTGTCATAACCTCCTTCAGCACAGTCTAAGTTTTGGACAGTTTATAGAGCTTGATCGCCGCCGATCTATTCAACAGAGCTTTGTGGGCTGTAGAGAAGAATCCGCTCTTTATTTTACGTCGAAAATCTGTCGAAAAACGAGCTGCTGTTATCTCATAAAACAAGCTATAATTTCATGGACCACCCTCTAAATTGATGAATTGTCGCGGACCCACCCCTATCAAATTTTTTGGACTTTCCAGCTTCTTCCGTATAGCTTGGCTCTACAAACCATATACGCCCAGGTTGGGCAGAACCTCCTCTATGGTCTTACGCACGAGTGCCTCAATCAGAACTTTTGGCTAATGGGTGGCAACGTCCGATATCTGACGACCACTAGTATCATATCCAAGGCTCTCGCTCTTCGTTACAATAACTTTTTTGAAACTTGCTTCTGAGCACATTTATTACGAATCTAAGCCCAGTGCATCGTTAATATCCTGAACTGTTCCCGCTACTTCCAGAGGATCTTGAGAGAAAAAAATGCGATAGGAGTACGAACGAGAAAGTCTTAGATCAGTTAGCATTTTATACTCCCAACGGAGGGGTCTGCCGTTGTCTCTGCCCGAGTGTATGGATCCATTTGAGTAGACGCTTAAGTAGCGCTGAGAAGATTTCGGATACGCGACAGAAAGACCCGTCGCGCGGCAACAAGGCGCACTCGGCGGACGAGTCGCAGCGCGCCCTGCAGGCACCTGAAGACTAGAAGGTACCATTGTACGTCATACATCACACATGACGCGCTGTGACTCGTCCGCTGAATCTGGCTTCTTGCCGCGCGATAGGCCTCCTATCAGGCACCCAAGAGTCTTGGCAGAAACTGATGTGCAAAGAGGAAATTGTTCCCCGTAAGCTCCAGTTCAGACCACCTTGCAAGTGGCCTTTGGTTGTCGATGTTATCCGGGAGGTTAATATGGGCGTTATTGCGTTAAGGTAATCTCTCCTGAGCCGGAATAATATGTTCATGGCTGCCTCGGGATCAAGATTGAGATGTGAGTCGCAATAAGTATCTTTATGAAGAAGATGACTCATTTAATTCTTCATGCATGAACTTCTTCACTACTTGTCCTTCCTCAGACTTTACCCCCAATTCCATTCACTCTTTATCCCTCCCCCTCTTTATTGCCTGGCAATTGAGCAAACAGGTCAATAAGAAATTTCGGTGACACAAGGCTGACTTCTGCCTCAGCAAAACTGTATACGTTGAAGTAGTCGTTATAAGTTACTACTAACATCCTTCTACTATATAAATCATTTAAACAAAAACGCTACACTCCATTTTACCACGGTTTTGGGAGTTTTTCTTTTTGACAGCAGTTCTCCTTCTGCTCAACAAGGCTCCTCTCAGGGGGGAGAGAGAGATACGGAAATCCAGCGAGTGTCAAAAATCGTCGGGAACGTCGTGGGTTGGAAAAGAGTGCTCTCCACCAGTACATTATTTTCGTGCTTCACAGCGGTTACTGATCTCACTGACTTCGAACAATTGTTGTGACTTAAACTCACTAATAAAACTGTAATTCCAAAATCAGTGCCCTCAAGAGCTAATGAATCCCAAGTGATCAAATCCGTTGCCGCTGCACAGGGTTAACTGTAGAGCTTGACTGATTGCGGAAGTTATACGATCGATATTTATATAAAAAGTAGCTTAAAAAATCATCTCTTCAAGAAACTCGCCTGGAGAAATGCTTTGAGGTTTCCGAATTTTTTTCAAGCTTACCAGTTCTCGAGCCTGAGCTACAAAAGGTCAGTTATCCCTGCAAAGCTAGGTAATGAAACGAGAGCATCGCCTGAGGTCACAAGAAGATTGGAGCGCAGCTTGAAATTTGCTGATACAGTTTGCAGGGAAATAGATGTACACTTGGTCATTTATCTTGTTAGGGCAACGACATCACAACGGCTGGCTTCTACAGACCACAGCAACAATGATTACACTTTTTAACGCCTCCGCGACCTTGAACCACTAGCGAATGCTATGCGTACCAAACACAGCAGAACTCCTCCAACTTCGTTTATCACAAGTGGGGGGAGGGGTTGTGGATTGAACAAACTACAAGGAGTGCAATGATTGAGTCGATTCACTTATCGAGTGCCACAAGAAAATTTTTCGAAACAATTGTTTCGATTCAGTGCCTATTATTGAAAAATTTCGGCGCTCATAAGTAAGCATAAATCTTGGTAATTCCTATGTTCCTTACCCATATTCACAAAAACCTCAAAACTTAACCTTTTAAAAAAGCATAAAATAAAAGGATAAAGCATTTGCCGTTGATCAATCCCTTTTTGGGATGCGGCACGCATTCTACTTCCATTTGTACATTCGTAGTGGCGTTTGAATGCGATGTGGCCTATACAATGACTTGCGGGGCCAGCCGATGTCAAGTCAGTGTTTTTATCCTCCCAGACAAGTCTGGTACCAATTAACCGACCCCGGAGGGATGGAAGGCTTGGTTGGCCCGGGCGACTCACGACCCAGGATTTGATCCCGGACCGCTCGCGCGTGTAGCGTGCCACTTGCCACTACACCACTTCCGCCCACCTTCAAAAAAGTATAATATCTTATCTTTCTTGCCTAAAAGCTCTCATTTGCATGAGGGAATTCGTACGAGCGATTTTTTGAAGAAGTGAGCATTGAGATCAGTTTCAGTGCTTTTTTGAGAGAGAAATGTGACATAGTCAAAGCCTCGATTACCAACGCTTTACGGCTCCGATCGCAGCCGTGTCCATTGCAATTTGTAGAGGGTGTTGATTAGATCGTTCCTGCCTTGCAAAGGAAAGAATTACCATCATCGACTACCCTTTTCTAAATTCAAAATGCTACGATTAGGCGCACGCCATCAGGCCAGGTAAGCAACGTGCGCCGTCAGCAGGTGGATGGCTGATTTGACAGGTGTAACATTGCTGAGACCATTGTTCAGCTTTGTCCCTGCTATGCATGTAAGCTTCCAGAGGGTTATGCCTTGTGAGAAGCAGAAAGTGCACGCAAAAATGGTCCAAAAAATGCTCGTACATGGACAACTATCTCAAGAATAAGGAGAACTTCACAAATATGCCAATCACTGAAATACGGATTTCACAAAGTCAAAAAAGGCCATCATAAGTCTTTTAGGCGATAGGTCGACGCTGTCGGAACCGCTGGCTTTCTTGCCTGTACTATCAATCAACGATAAGTAATACATAGAAGACAAACACATGCCAAGGTGTTTCGAACTGTGGATAGCCTGAGATCCTCTTCGGTCATAGAAAGAAGCATGTTGAAGGTTTTGACAAAAAATTTAATGAAACTGAACACGATTTTAATAGAAGGCACTTAAAGGAATTCGTAGAGAAATATGCCAGTGTTCTGGAAGAAACGCTTGTAGAACGTATTACAGTATGCGCGATGTATTCAATATGATGATTCAGTGGGTACTTGGTTTGGAGGTAATGAATTCTTCTCAAAATAAAATAAAAATAATAGAGAATAAAATAAAAACAACAAAGAATAAAATAAAAAGCGAAACAAGGTTACTCCCCTTTAGCTAGGCCAATACATGCGCTTTACTGCACAGAGGCAGTGACTGATGAGAATCATATTGAATTTAAGGGAGGATCCAATTTTGTTTTCATTTGTTTTTTGTTTATACGTATTTCTTAATCCAGTGGCTGGAAAGTGCGCCGTAAACATACCAGCAAAGTATTCTTAGCACAAAAACCTTAAGAAAGTTCAGAAACATGGAAAACTTCCTAGATTTATACAATGCGTCACAGCGATAGATTATTACTGTCCTAAGATGACTTGTCTAGGTGCTAGTATTCCCTGTGTATTTATCTGAAGGGCGGAAGTGGTGTAGTGGCAAGTGGCACGCTTACCACGCGAGCGGTCCGGGGATCAAATCCTGGGTCGTGAGTCGCCCGGGCCAACCAAGCCTTCCATCCCTCCGGGGTCGGTTAATTGGTACCAGACTTGTCTGGGAGGATAAAAACACTGACTTGTACATCGGCTGGCCCCCGCAAGTCATTGTATAGGCCACATCGCATTCAAACGCCACTACGAATGTACAAATGGAAGTAGAATGCGTGCCGCATCCCAAAAGGGATTGATCAACGGCAAATGCTTTATCCTTTTATTTATCCTTTATTTATCTTGCTACATGAATGACAGCGCTCATTTTGCCAAAATGTCAGTTTACTTAGGGGGATTTGGGTACGAATATGTGTGCTGAGAAAACACTGCTGTACGCAGCACTAGAGAGACTATTTGAAACTTTTAACATGACCGAAAAATGGCACACAGATGAGTGAAGGCTCAATACTCTATTGTGCGGAGCCGATGCTCTCGAATTTTCGTTGGTTTCCTACAATTAGAAACAAGCTTAAGCTTAACAACATTAAGACATTAAGAAAAGCCGAGACAGCCCCTCATACACACCACCTCTAGATTTCCGAAAAGGTCGCTAAACAGAGCTCGGGACGAAAATTTACAACAAACCCTAAGTGCTCAACGCCTGAACGCACCTGAAGCGAGTTTCCTTGGGCTCGAAGTGTAGTGCAAATTCGAAAACTTTGTAAACCTTTTCAGCAATAAGTCTGCACTAATTGGATAGCTTTATTAATCATACATGTTAGGAATAGAAGGATATTTAGGCATGAGATGTCTTTCATAGTAATCTTTCCATTGCATCATCTCTTCGTAGTCTTTTTTCATGGCTCTGATACTAGTAAATTGTTTCCAAATCATCGTCGCGCCAAAGACGGCGGCAAACAACGAGAACAGTAGCGGCAGCAGTGTAGATGCGCCAGAGTAAAGCCAGATCCAGTCCGATCCCATATATGGCATTGCATTGGGTGAGTAGTCGGGAGTAGAATCCTTAAAAAGTGCTATATTTTACTCACAGTTCTTCCAACAGAATTTTGTTGACCGATGCGAAACACTCACCGGTACTATGACCTTGAACCTGCGCCCATCATACCCTGGAATCCACTCGAGTAGATCACCTGGCCCCCGACCACCAACCACTTCCCTCTCGGTACCTCAACCGCAAACACTGGATTCGTGACAACTCTTGCTCGAGGTTCATCGAATTTAGAAGGAACCTCATACATTCGTGTGGCCCGAGTTGCTACTATCACAGAACGTGCTAGTGGCCGCACTAATGTGAACTGTAATTTTAGATTATTGCTATGAACTGTCCTCAATGTTATACGCAAACGCCGAATCAATAAACAATTACCGTACATATTCGTCTGACGAATTGTGCAAGACCAATTGACAGTAATGCCTATCTGCAGACAGCAACCCACATCCAGTCACCTGCTCTTGCAAATTGCACAACAATACAGATGAGGAGTGCCGGCACAGACTTTCGTGCTCCACCATTCGCAGCGTGGCTAAATTGATGCTCCGGTTTTCCGTCTTCCCAATCGCATACAATCCTCCAACGTCGTGCATCCAATATGAGCTCATGTTCGGCAAGAACTGTCCAAGAGGTTCCACGCGAATCAAATAATGAACATCCGAAGCCGCGGTCATCGGGTAGCAGATCTAAGAATGTATTATCAGTGCTGTGCGTTACATTCACATACGACACCCTACAATTACCTCAATTTCAATCATTTCCTTATTCATTCCGACCACAGTAGCCTTTAATGCATCCCTCGCACTACGGCCGTGCAAAGCCAGCAATGAGTGGTTGAACCGCTCGCCTGCAAGCCGCTCGATTGCTGACATGAGGCTGCGGTTGCTTGACCTCTCTAGTAGCTCTTCCGCCACTTTACCAAACCCGAACAACTGATCGAGCATTCTACGCACTTGTGCATGTATTTCAAGACTCACCAATGCAAACGCCGATCCGAAATGGATTCTGTAAAACCAAGCAAGTAGAAATCTGTAGAGAACTAGGTTTTCACTGGTTACGTCTATCTACCAAAATATGCATTTGTACCTTGATACTTCCAAAGTCATCCCATTGATCAGCGCCAGGAACGCATTTCCGATGGCGCTCTGGAATGCGAATTTGAATAAATGGTGACTATAGGCGAAGCAGACGTAGAGTGGGAATTCACTGAGATAACGCACCATTTTGTAATTTCTTATATCACTTTCCTCAACAGAATCCTCGACGCTTTCAAGTATGAAGCCACCAAAGAGGCTCATTCCAATATCGAACGCTACGACACCAGCATTGGGGAACGACTTCAGTTTCGTTGGCCTACAAATATCCAAAGCTGCGTAAAAAAATGGGACGAAAACGACGTATATATTATATATTGACACTCACCTGTGCAATGGTGTGGAGGCCTGGCGCTTGGCAAAAAGATCCCTCATGTCAGCTTTGTGTGCGGCCAATGCTGTTGCCTTCATCGCCTTATAGACCTGTACACGTCACATTTCGCATCATCGGCTCCCATCACGTAAGCAGAAATGGGTACTAACCTCCATTCGAAGAGTTTCATTCAGGACGGTCCTCTTATTGGTTGCCAGCAGATAGTCTTCGATTGGTTTGATTGCCGCCTCGAATAGATCCCCGTGAACATAGGCCGTGTAGTCTGGTAAAATTGTGGAGTTTATTCGAAGCGTTGGTCCAGATAATTGATAGTGATGTGTGAAAATTGCGAGAGAGCTCACCCAGCATCACTATTCCACAAGCTTCTTTCCGGTCTGCGACTTCTCCAACTATTTCTGCATACAGTCCATTACGCAGCAATTCATCATGCACTGCTACATTGAGCTGAGCAATATTGTGCACATTTTCTGGCACATATGCACTGAATAATCCATCTGCACCTTTGGTGCCGAGCAAAACCAAAATAGCCAAGAACTTGTAGACTTGCGCAAACTGCATTATGTAGCTATGCACTAAATTCCAATGTAAACATCTGGAGCAACAGGAATTGCTAGAACACGAAATTCTGATTCATATCATCGGAAGAAATAAGGAGCACACATAAGTACGTCATTTCCATGTCTAGATTGGGAGAAAGCCGCATATTTTACCAGTAGCCGTGTTAGTGTTAGCAAGTTGTAGGTCGATATCTAGCATCTACAACAACAGTCGCAAAATCTGAGAACATCAAATGGAAATGCGAGAATAAAAAATTATAGAAATAACTTCTAAAGACACAAAAAAGGAATTTCTCTCAAAACACAAAATAAAATGAGATAGTCAAAAAAAAACAAATCGATAAAAAATGAAGTCATTCCTAATATCATAAAAGTAATGTGAACTAGCAAAGAAATGGATTGAAGAATTGACTTCTCGGATTGGCGGCATTACCAATACTCACGTTTACCGTTTGATTCATGTAAATTGTTTAGAAGAGCTGTGTATGAAGTGAAGAGCGAAATTCGATCAGTAACTATCAAACGTATCGAAGGAAAATCTAGATCGAACAAAAATCTCACATTGGAACATATGAAGACATCGATGGCTATGATACTGACGCATGATGACTTTCTCTCGTAAAGTAAGTGCTAGCACCTATCAGGGTTCTCGTCATGGAAAGGCAGCAACTAAAAAAGTGGAGGCGACATCTGGTTCCATCGCACAATAGGCCGTGGATGAGATTCGACGTGGACTAGGGAACATGATGATATTACGGAGTTAACCCACTTAGAGTAACATTACAGATATGGAGAGTGAGGATAAGATGGCTGACTCGCTTCCTGAGCGCGACTATTGCGATGTTTGGCGAACAAGCCCTATCGGCCCCCTCTTCAAGCAGAAAGAGGACGTGATGGAATGCTTCAATCACCGCGAGTCATGCTGAATGCTCATATCGTGAAGCTGTAAGGCGACTGGCGGACTCAAAACTGAGCGGCCCAGTCTCAACCTTCTTCGGGTTCATGCCTGAAAGGTCAACAACGTACTTAAAGACGAGCCTGGCGCTTAAAATTTGGGACCCTCATAAGATTAACACGGAAAATGTCTCTCGAAATAGAGGAACTACCGGAAGTGACTTTGACGCATTTAATTATTATACAGCGCACATAAGTAATCGCCGTAGGAGAGTAAAGAAGCGGGGCCGTATTCAACAAGCCCCGAAGGTCTTCGGGGGTATATCCCCGAAGTCGCATGCACAAGCCCCGAGGATCGTCGGGGACACATTCCCGACGACCTCCGGGGCTTGCTGCATAAGGTCGCCGGGGGTGAATCCCTCTACTCTCGACTAGGAGGATTCATCCCCCATGGCTCAACACGTACTTGGTACTTGCAGTTTATTGCAGGTATGTGTCGAAAAAATACATTCTTGACTGCAGTTCAGTCATTTGACTTGTTCAGCTTGGCATGGTGCCAGATGCAGAGAAGAGACGTAACCGCCTCGTCACATACACGATGCACTTCTGCGGCACATTTGTCGTGCGCTCGCGTACTAAGGAAACTCCACAAATAAATAAAAATTTGAAACTGGTTCATCTAATGAAAAGAATATATCAGAACAGTTTGCAAAAGAAAGCCCTAGAAGTGGTCCATTTCAGTCGATCATTCTATGCCTTTTCAAGTGACCTGCTTCAATTTCATCGAATTCCGAGATTTACCATGAGCAAAATTTTGCTAATGACCATCCACGTATCCGATCCTACATTTTGGTGTATAGCGATAGTCATCCCTGATGTGGCCAGACTCTCACTCCTTCACACACTTCTGATCCCGCCATTAAACCAAAGACTGTGTTGCAGAGTGGTGGGTGGGGGAGAGAGGACTAGTAAAAAACCAGTACGACTGTTGAACGGCAAAGCTGACCTAATTTGTGAACAAACTTGGAAGAGCTTCCACATCTCACTAAGATAATACCATATTCTCAAATTCTCAGGGACGGTAGTAAAGTGCCATAGACTGGGAGTTAAAGGTGGTGAACTACGGCCGTAAGCGGTGAATAATGAAAGGCGAGACAGCCAGATGACCCCGCTCTGAATGGCGAAGCTTCACTACATTCCTAGCAAAAGTCGCGTCGCCATGGACTTGAAACCATGTAGTGCAGCCCATGAGCGCGACGTTTGCCACTGCACCACAAAGCATTGCTGTGTTACTTCGAAAGAATTGTAGAAAGCAAGGTAGGATCCTATGAGGGTTGCAAAACATCCAGTATCATGGAGAACTGATCCCGCGAGCGATCCAATGTCAACAAGGAACGAACCCACTGCGCCAATCGACGTGTTTGTAACCTAGGATCATGGCCTAGATGATTGTACAGTAGTGAAATGCTCCCGGACCAAGGAAGGAGCTATAACACGATCAATAAGTGGAACACGGGGGACAGCTGATCACCTTATTGGCAGAAAGTTATCAATATTATCGATAGCTCCAGTGGCTTTCTTGCTGCCCACACTCAACACCTTCCACGTACCCCTTTCTTCCCTGCGCTCTGCGCATGGCAGGGACGGAGAGACGCTCAATGCGACCAATGCATGACGTGCAGAGAAAGGGGGAAGTGCATGGGGATTGAAAGAGACGCAGATAGACGGCGACTAAAATGTACTCAGGGGTACATTTTAGTCGCCCTCTACATGACCCTCTGCGTCTCTGCAATCTCCACGCACTTTCCCCTTTCTCTGCCGGGTTCGCCGCCTAGGCTAGGTGCCACCTAATACGTTCGCCACTTAACATGTGGTATAGACCTCGCCCTCTGCGGGAGGTCAGCGTGAATTTCCGCCCTTTCCCCATGCTTTTTGAGTGCCGACGAAGGCGAGATCAACGTGACCTATTGGCCAGCTATAGACTGGCTATTTAGGGGACTTTACTACCGTCCCAGAAAACTTCTCATCCTGTGCCATCCAGAAACACAACACATGTGCGACCTTCTACTCAAAATTGCACAATGCGATCCCTTCGTCCAACGTCGTCAGAAAATACGCAAGCATCACGTGATGGATTCGGAGAGGAATTCAGGAACGGAAAAGCGATGTCCTGGGAATCTCATTCCATTGTTGCACAGTTGTATTGCCGTGGCCAGAAACAGTATCCACTTCGTGGTGCCCACTGTCTCAGCTGACTGGATACTGCGTAAACTGCAAGTACCAAGTACGTGTGAGATTCGGGAAGTGAATTTCCCTAGTCGAAGGCACTGCGGAGTCCCCTTAGTATGCGAGCGCACGACATATGTGACGCAGACGTGCACCGCGTGAATGCCGGTGCAACTGCGTTCCTTCTTGTCAGCATCCGGCACCATGCCAAGCTATCAAGCTGAGTGAACTGCAGTAAAGACGTATTGTTTCGACACACACTTGCAATAAACTGCAAGTGCCAAGCACGTGTTGAGGCCGTTGGGGATGAGTCTCCCTAGCCGAGTGTGGGGATTCATCTCGCACACGACTTCGGGGATATGTATCTGGCCAGCGTCGGGACTTGTTGCACAGGACCTCAGGAGATCCATCCCTGATGAGCCTGTTGCAGCCTGCAGCCTGCCCCGATAAGCTTGTTGCATACGGCCCCTGATAGCAAAGGAGTTTCGATTTGGACAATGTCTCATCCGCATGGCCTGGTCGAAATTTGATTTCCAGACGACGTACGAATACGAAGCAGTTATGACATCGAGTTGTTCTGAATTGGTGGTGCCTGAACACTAAGCTTGTGCATAGCGATGACTTCTCTGTACTATTGTATCCCTTCCCCCTCTGGTCTCTCAAAAATTGCGCAGGAAATCATATGTCTTCTAAGATCACTCCATAGAACCATACCTTGCTCCAGAGGAAATTTTTTGCAAAGGTGATTCTGCAGATTGAGGGATTTGCTCTTAAAAAAGTCACTGAATTTGTTCTCTCGAGTGGCCGTTTCAGAGCATAGCTCTCGCGAAAAATTGGTCATGGGACGCTGAAGAGTTTCTTTTTTTCCGCACTCTTGCAAGCATAACTTCTTTTTCAAGGATTCATTTTGCTAAACTGAAGATGCATTTATAATCTAAAAGCATAAAAGCTTTCAGAATCTACCTAGCATAAATTTCATTCCCTAAAATAAGCTAAACTACTGAGCAGTATTCTTGTTTGGGAAAAGATTATTCGTAAGGAGGGCAAAAAGTTGTATTTTGTCTTGAGTGGTGCATTCCTTCATGAACAACTCTGAATGTCTAATGTTTCGCAAAATTTTGCTTTGTGCTTCACGCACTTCTTTTTAGTTTTCTATTTCTTGCATAAAGTGGAAAAATAAGAGGAAAATGGAAATTATGTTAGATTCAGAAGGCATTCGCTAAACTAAAAAATATCTAACCATTCAGTTATGCTGATTTATGATCTGTTGAATGAGTACAAAGGGGCTAGGAAGAAGTTGCGCAAGCGTTAGAAAAAGGGATGACTTGGATGGGACGCGTTACCGCGTCACAATGTCCCACGAGGTGTGCAAAGTGGGAAACGTCACCGCGTCGCGCTGTCGTCAACGTGTTAAGTAATGATGGGGACCAGTGACGAATAACGGTCGAGGAAATCCTCATTCTGGCTCTATACTGTGTTATAATAGTGTCGAGAGTGAACGCACGCGCGTAGAGCACAGACGCTCGCGCGTGGAGAGAGTGAATGTCCGCGCCGGAAGGCCTGACAGAACAAGCGAAAATGCTCGACGAGTCGTAGACACATCTTCGAACGATTTTCACTCTGATGGGAATACTCGATACAATGTTAATCACTGGACGCCCAGAATAGAACGTTTTTTCTTCACTATCGTTCCACCTCCCATCTCTAAACTCAATTATCAGGTGCCATAATGCCGAAACACGAGCCTGACTTTTGCCTTTAAACCCATTATTTCGGAGGTCGCATACAATAGACTGCAACGTTTGAAGGTATAGAAATTGCTCGAACTCTTAATTTAACAGTCGAGAAATCGTCCTCTGCACT